TGAGGAGGAGGAGGAGGAGGAGGTTTCTCTCTCTCTCTCTCTCTCTCTCTCTCTCTTTTCTCTCTCACTCCTCTCTTTGTCCTTTGCTCCCTCTCTCTCTCTCTCTCTCTCTCTCTCTCTCTCTTTTCTCTCTCACTCCTCTCTATTTGTCCTTTGCTCCCTCTCTCTCTCTCTCTCTCTCTCTCTCTTTTCTCTCTCACTCCTCTCTATTTGTCCTTTGCTCCCTCTCTCTCTCTCTCTCTTTCTCTCTTTTCTTTCTCACTCCTCTCTTTGTCCTTTGCTGTCTCTCTCTCTCTCTCTTTCTCCTTTTCTTTATCTCCCTTTCCTCTCTCTTTTTTCTCTCTCACTCTTCTCTCTTTGTCCTTTGCTGTTTCTCTCTCTCTCTGTGTCTCTTTTTTTTCTTTCACTCCCTTTCCTCTCTCTTTTTTCGCTGCCACTCCTCTCTCTTTGTCCTTTGCTTTCTTTCTCTCTCCCTCTCTCTCTTTTTTCTTTCTCACTCCTCTCTCTTTGTCCTTTATTCTCTTTCTCTTATTCTCTTTCTCTTAATTACTGGATCTCTTATCTTTTCCTTTTCCTTATCTCTCCTCTTTCCCTCTTTCCTTTCTCTTCCCTCTCATTGTCTCTTTCCACTCTCTCTCTCTTATTTCTCTCTTTCTCTCTCTTTTCTTTCCCTTCTCTCTCTATCTCTTTCTCTCTTGTCTTTCCCATCTCTCTCTTTTTTCTCTTTTCTTTCTCCTCTCTCTCTCTCCCTCTCTTTTTCTCTTTTCTTTCCCATTTCTCTCTCCTTTCTCTTGTCTCTCTCTCTCTTCCTCTCTTTTTCTCTCTTTTTTCTTTCCTATCTCTCTCTCGTTATCTTTCTCTCAGTTACTGTATATCTTTTCCTTTCCTTTCTTTCTCCTCTTTCTCTTTCCTTTCTCCGCATTCTCTCTTCCTCTATCTCCTCTCTCTTTTATTTCTCTCTTTTTCTCCCTTTTCTTTCCCATCTCTCTCTCACTGTCACTCCTCTCTTTTCTTTCTCTCTTCTCTCTCTCCCTCTCTTTTTCTCTCTCTTTCTTTATTATCTCTCTCTCTCTTTCTCCCTTTTTCACTCTCACCCTCTTTGTCTCTTTTCTCTGTTTTTCTTTTCTTTCTCCCCTTCTCTCTTTATTCCTCTTTCTTGTTCTCTCTCTCTCTGTCTTTCTCTCTCTCTCTCTCTGTATCTCTCTCTCTCTCTCTCTCTCTCTCTGTATCTCTGTGTCTCTCTCTCTGCTCGTGATCAGCTCCAGCTGCATTATTAACGTTCTGCATCAAAAAGTTCAGAAAAAGGTTTTTTCTTTCTACAAAACGAGACTTTAAACAACGACAACATCCATCAGTTCAGCTCATCAGAGTCTCCTCCTCTTCGACTCACAGACACAGATGAAGGTTTATAATCTGCGCTGTGAGTCGAGTTTCTCCTCTGGTTTCTCTGAGCCACGACTGAGAAATAACTCATAGCATTCTGACGCTCCTCTCATCGCTGCCGATAACTGAGTGGGCTCATGGAGTCCGTGGTGGTCTTTTGTGCCCCCGTGGCTTCGTGGAGGTTTGAGCTGCGAGTCTTGACAGCAGATCTCGGGGGGAATTACTTCCATTTTGGCAGCCAATTGACTCAGCGAAGGACGGCCGGCCCCCGTCGCCACGAGAAACGGAGAAAAGGACTTTTCCTCGGCTCCGTGTGCGCGATTGATTCTGCTGCGCCGCATAATGAATGTTTTCAATCACTCGTTCAGCTCCAGCTCTCGGGACGGCGCCGTGCACACACAGTCTATTATTGTCCTGTCTCTCTCTCTCTGCCTCTCTTTCTCTCTCTCTCTCCTGCTTGGCCATCATGTTGCGGCTCTAATTGGAAATGTTCATTTTGACACCGAGCGCCTCCTGGGCTTCGCAGTTATTTGACATTAGAGGCGCGAGGGAGGAAATCCAAGCACTTTTTAAGACGACCCACCGTGTCTCCACTCGCAACGGCAAAAAAAAGAGTCAGCATCCACAAAAACAAGACGGCAAGCAGTTTGCATGATGCTAATTGATGCCTTTTTTACCTGTTGGCTACTTTAGCTTCGCAGCTTCAATACAAAACATCAGACACCAAACATGTTTAGCTGACTGGCTACATTTGAGGTAGAAGCGAGAAGATGTTTCACTAAACTGTTCCTTTCAAACTGAGTGAAAATGCTGCTCAAAAGGGCCAAAAACTAGAGTTTAATATGTTATTTGTCATAAAATACAGTATTTTGTTGCACCGTCTTTGCAGAAATACATACAGCCATTGGAAACGTCACATCCCTGTGGTGCCAACCAGTTCTGCTAGCCTAGCCACTTATCTATAGGCTAATAAACACAACCAAGCTAGCATTAGCGTGACTCCAGTACCACCATAGTTTAGACTTTCTTTGTTGCTTTCTTTTAAAAGACGCCCCGCACTAAAAAGCCAATCCCAACGTCCCACATACAGCATTTGATTGGCAGGAAGTCTTGTTGTCAGTGAAAATGCAATTGCAAGCAGGGTTGCAATTGCGTTTTAATTAACTGCAAATTTTTAATACGTTTTAATATACAGACTTCCTCTCAAAACATGCCCCACAGTATACAAGCCCCTCCCAATGTCCCACCCGCAGCGTTTGATTAACACGAAGTCTTGTTGACAGTAAAATTTGCAATTGCAATTCCTCGCACTCTGCCAAAATTAAAATGCAATTGCAAATTTTGAATATGCCAGTCAGACCATAAAGACAAACAGAATAAAATTTCAAAAAGACGGCTTTTCCAGTCATCATATACACAAATGCAGATGCAAATATACATTTTGCATTTGAATTATGTAGTAAAATAATGCACACTCATGCTAGAAATGCAAAAAAAAATGCATTTTCAAATTTGCATTTAAATTGGAAAAATCTCCTGGATACGCTGCCTTTTTCTCCAGCTAACGAGAAAACAACTGTTCAAAATAACCCTCAGAGCAGTTGTACTTGCTTTCATCTTCAAGATACACCATCAGAAGGGTGTTTTCATAGCCTGTAAACTGCAAAGTCCCTCTAAAGGCTACTGTAACAGTGTGAGTAGGCATGTCTAGAACAGATGCAGTGACAGTTACATGCTTTATTTTGGCCGGAGCGCCTCTTTAAGATCGGTGCGCTCAATCCTGAACTCTCATAAGAAGAGCAGACCTGATCTCAGATGAAGAAAAGACCCTCAGAGCTGTCAGTTCTTTGTGCGGCGTTTCTTTCCCTCGTCAAAGTACATCTTTTTATTGAAAACAAACGTCTGGTCCGTTGCTCTGTTATTTTGTGTCGCTTTCTCTGCTGCTCTCTCCTTCATCTCTCTCCTCATTATATCACTCTCTGTTCGTCTGACAGCCTCTCTTCAGAGCGACCGACAGTAGCAATTATCAGCTGCAGCATAAAACTGCAGCATGCTTTTGTAATCGCCAGCAACATCTAAGAGTCAGCTGGTAGTTTTAAAGGGCCCGTAATATGGAACGCTGTGTTTTTGATCGAACTCTGATGTGGTATGACACTGGTTTAACCCTCTGGGGTCGGAAGTCAATTTCTTGATTTTTGTATGTAATTTTTTATTTGTTTTTTTGTATGTAATTTTTGTATGTATTCTTAAATGCAACTTTAAAGGCTCTTGTATACGACATGATACCCAGAGATTCAGAACGATCTCAGCTCTCTCTGTAATGAGGTTTTTTTTGACCTGGAGCTCTGTGTAACGAGATAATTCAGCCCTAAAGCTGAAAAATTTAAATCCGTTTTTAGAAATTCTTAATATCTCTTGTGGAAACACAGCTTTACTCATGTGGACGGATTGTTTTGGTTTCCTCGAAATGAGGTTAGCGATGTCTCAGGATCACAGAAGCAGTGATTGTATGAATAAAATAGTAGATAAATGTTTTTGTCATCGCTACTTTGCAAAACCGCTGCAGCAACTTCAGCAGCTGTAAATAATGTTTTGTGTCTGCGTTCGTGCCGACCAAACAAAAATGAAGGGTTTCCGGCGTGATGGTCAGTCCTTAGAGATTTCCTGAGCGTCCATTGGTCAGTTTCACACAGAATGTAGACGGACACACAAATACATCAGTTCCACACGGTGAGAGGCAGATGACGTGTATCTCAGCCCCTCTTCATAGGCTCATAACTCTGGATGTGATTGTCGTATGATCTGGTGATAAGATGGAACGGAAAGGGCGGCTCTACAGATTCAGGAAGTGTTTGAACTGTTTCTGTGCTGGGTTATCACAAAGATCTAATTTGATGCGCCAGTGCATTCGTCAACCCCTAAGGGTTAACCTTTAAATGAAGAGGGCCCAACGGTGGGCCCAAGGGTTTATTACACACTTCTATAACCTAAGAATAACTCAGCCAGTTTGCATTGAAGTCCCTGTAGTTACTAAATAATAAGCCTTAGTATGTAATAAATCTGTGATTTTAAGGGGATAAAACATGTAGATTTATGTGAAAGTTTTGGGCACCTGTGTTAACTGAGCTTCACTTAGAAAAGCAAGAAAATGTGGTTTGACCAAGGGTGCCCTAACTTTTGCATGCTGTCCATATATAGAAAAAAGCTGAAAAACCAACCTGTTTTGAAAACATTTTGTTTGTGATGTCAGAAAAGACCAGCACATGTACATATATCCCCCTACTGGGCCCACAGCCCTCCAGCCCTGCCCAGTCACACTGTTCAAAGTGAGTTTTTAAAGTTAGGAAAGAAAAAAATGTAGTTCTACCTGGACTGCACACTACAGGACAACCAGTCAGAGGTTATTTACATATATTAGTCTTAAAGACTGTAAGACAGTAAGAACAGCCTGTTTAATGCTATAGAAAAATGGAAAATAGGGTCATGTAAAAATGTAAAAATGAATTATGATTGATTTTTGATACATAAATCCAAATACTCGTCACAATGAACGCAAGAAAACCACACAAACTGCAAGAAAATGAGTAAAATATATTTAATTGATCTTTTCCCAACAGATCACGGTGACGGATCACGGAGTGCCAGCCCGGTCCACCACGGTGCGGGTGATCGTAAAGGTTCTGGACGAGAACGATAACCGTCCGGTCTTCATGGAGAAGGTGTATAAGATCAAGCTGCCCGAGCGGGAGAAGGTGGAGAAGGCGGAGAAGTCGTTTCGGCGCGACCCCGTTTACCGTGTGATCGCGTCCGACCGGGACGACGGCCCCAACGCCGAGATCTCCTACAGCATCGAGGAGGGAGACGAGCAGGGCAAGTTCTTCATCGAACCCAAAACCGGCCTCGTTTCGTCCAAGAAGGTCTCCTCGGCCGGAGAGTACGACATCCTCACGGTGAGAGACTCCATTAGCATTTAGCAGTTAGCGATTAGTAAATACATTATGATGAATTATTCTGCTATGGCCACAAAACTTGCATGTGAAGACTGGACGACTGAAGTTTATAATCAGTGTTTTCTATAATTCATAACGTATATAAAGCTGTTCTATATATGGTTCTAATAAGGCTAGTATAATTAGCATAATTAGCAGGCAGCTGTTATTAATATTCCTACATCTAGAATGATGAACAACAGAGCTGTAAAGTTCTAAAAAAATCAACATCCAGAAAGAAGTTCTAATAAAAATTACATCCAGTATAAAATTTTAATAAAGCTAATATCAAGAATAAAGTTCTAAGAAAATTAAAACCCAGAATAAAGTTCTAATGAAATTTACATCCGGAATGAAGTTTTAATAAAATTGTCATCCAGAGTCAAGTTTTAATAAAATTAACATCCAAAATGAAATTCTAATAAAATTAACATCCAAAATGAAATTCTAATAAAATTAATATCTAGAATGAAGTTCTAATAAAATTAACATCCAGAAAGTTGTAATGAATTAATATCCAGAATGAAGTTCTAGCACAATCAATTTGTAAAATAAATTCCTAATACAGTTAGTATCCAGAATGAAATTTTAATAAGCTTGATATCTAGAACAAAGTTCTTACAAAGGTAATAAAATAATATGCAGAATGATTCTCATAAAATTATATGTCACATTATTTATCAGGAAAAAATAACGTAAAAATACTTAAAAATATGTCATTAATATGACAGGTGATTCTAAACCTCTGAACAGTAGCTTAAAATGTGACACATTTTCAGGAGCGGAATGAAAGATCTGGCGTTTCCAGTATTTTGGCCAGTGTCTCATAACAGTGTTTGGACCCCTTTGGAACACATTTATGTCGCCACCATGGTTTCTAATGTCTGCAGTTCTGTGTTTTCACTCATCTAACACACCTGATTGAACACATCAGCTAATTATCAGGTGCTTCGTGAGGCGACACAGATGTGCTAGAACAGGGAAAACAAAGCCGTGAAGTGCCTGTTCAGCAGAATCCTCAGTTTAGAGCGAACTGTTAGCAACAAAATCTAATTTACAGTTTCTGTCTAAGTTTGCTGCTTTAGTTTAGGGCTGAAGCTGCGATGCTAAAGTAGCTAACAAGCGATGGGACTTTGCCACTTAGCATGTTGCTAACCGCAGGCCCAAATCATCACAAACCTGCCTCAAACTGTGCGGAGTTGTTCGGTATCTCTAATAGACCTGATTATGAGGTTCCTGACTCTGTTTTAATATAAAACATGGAAAAACATGCAGGTAAGATTCAAGATGACTGTTTTTACTTGTGTAACATACTTATTAGCTACATTAGCATAGTTTTGAGGCAATACAGAATGTAGACTGTTTGACTAAACTTCTCAAACACTGTGCTTGTCTAAAAGTAGTTGTGTGCAAAAGTTTGGGCACCCCTGTAAAAATGACGTTTTGATTTTCTAAGTGAAAATCAGAATAGACCATATTTCAGTTCCCCAAATGTAGCCGATCATCCAAGACATCCTTGCCATCTAAGGCCCAGCTGACCATCTAATGGCTGAAAATCTGCACCAGCTAATTCATTCCTATTCCTCTGAAGGTTAAGGGAGGTCTTGTTTTTTGGTTAGTAGCTCGTTCCTGTTTGTTTGGTCAGTGGTAAAAGCTGGTTTGTGTTGGTTTATCCTGGTCTGGTGCTGGTTTGACTGGTCACCCAGCATGGTCATGGTCATACCAGTTGTCAAAATTTGTCAGGCCCGCTTGTGGGCCACATCCTTAGGTTGGTCGGAAAACAAATCTGGCCTGCATGCTGTAAAGTGAGAAGAACTAATGGATGTGGCCCAAATGTGGCCCAACTACATTGCTGGTCTACACCTTTCACACCAGAATTGGCTCACATATATAAACACAAGGAAAAAAACATATGAATCTGTCCAACATCTGGCTTTATTCTAGCCTGCATGCCTAACATCTGCCCGGTGGTCAGCCAACACTAACATAGGAAAGCTAGAATCAGCCCAAAACTGTCTGCTATCTGGTATCAGCATCCAAACACAACAATGCTAGTTTAGCTGGTGACCAGCATAATAACTTCCATTGCTGCTGACCAGCATCCAAAACATAACATGACGCTGCTGTTGGAACAAAACCTTTTTCAGTTTTTGTCATAATCTGAAAATGCCTGTTGCTCTTTACGTTGTACGTAAATTTCGTGATGAATGGCCCAAAAGAAACGGCCCAAAATGACTTGGACAAAAGTCTGGTTCCATTGACTTACATTAAAAGTAAAGTATGTTTTTTCCTTCTCCTGTAAAGTTGTCATTTTGGAGATGTTTTTGTGATAAGCTGATTTTGCTGGTCTACCATCCATACTGGTCTATGCTGGTTTTTGAAGCAGGGATTCTAATGCATAACTACTGTTTCTTGGCTGTATTTAACACAAATTGCGGCCTGTGTAAAAGTTCAGGCACATTTTGATATTTTACACTGTATTTTCTTCCAATATGTTAAACTAAATAATTGGAAATTCTGCACTACGGTTGGCAGTAAAGTGCCATATTTCAATTCCGGTTCCCCAAATCAAGGCATGTTTGGCATCTGAGGCCCAGCTGAACATCTAATGGCTGAAAATCTGTACCAGCTAATTCGTTCCTGTTCCTCTGAAGGTTGAGGGAGGTCTTGTTTTTTGGTCAGCAGCTCGTTCCTGTTTGTGTGGTCAGTGGTAAATCGGTCACACCTCCTCCTGCGTTCACACATCGGCATCTGTCACTTCCCGAGTGCCATGGCAACAGGTGTTCGGAGCCGTGCTCCGTCTTCCCACCCTCCATGCGGTGTTGTGACAGTTAGTGCCTTCCGTCATTCAAATCCATTTGTGTCGAGCAGGTGTTGGAGCTCACAGCTAGCACGTTCATGTGAATTGAACAGTAACAGAAAGAAAAACGCAAATTAGTGACAAACGTGAATTACTGAAAACATCAAAACAACTGAGAATTGACTAATTACATTAAACAAGTATAAAATGGAAATATGACAGTGTGAAGAACTGTAATAATCGCAAAGCTGTTTTATTAATTTTTTTCATTTACTGATCCACAACTATGAAGAAAAAATACTGTGAAAATACTGGCAACCTGTTAATAAACGAAGGAGCTGATGGGAGTAGTACAGCTGAACTCTGCAGTGACGACAGTTTATCTGTTCTTACCATATTGTTCAGTCTGTATATACCATCAATCTTTAAATAACGTTACATACAGCAAAAATAGATATCTAGGTATCTTCAGGGCTCAGAAACTGCAATATGAAGATCTTCAGCTCTTATTCACAAACATTCACCACATTATGTTCCAGTTCTTTGTGGCAGTGGGAAATGGAGTCCTTTAATCAATACTGCTAAAGTTGCTAACAATGAATGAAAGTGAATAGACGCCAATTATTTATTATTCAAATGACATTATGCTAACTGGTGATTACCAGCCATTCATACCATTACCATTCGTTGTTATATACGTATATATGATTTCACCTTATTGTTAATTTAATGTTAATTAAATAATTTCATGTTATCTAACATTTATTTAAGTCATTTTACGGTACAAAACTGTAACCAGACAGTCAGACAGTATGATCATGGAAATAGTCATAGCAGACATATTGCAGTGTGTGTACTATTACTATGGAAGTTTTTATAGCATAAACATGGAAATGGTTGTAGCTTTCTATGGAAAAAAGTGTAGCATAACAATGGAAATGGGTGTAGTGTAACCATGGAAATCCTTTTAGCATAACTACAAAAAGTATTGAAATAGGTGTAACTTAATTATGGAAATGGGTGTAGTTCAACAATGGAAATGGGTGTAGTGTAACCATGGACATTTGTATACACTATAAATTAGTGTATTGACTGAAATGGACATAGCGTTTCCATGGAAATGAGCATAGCGTATCCATGGAAATGGGTGTAGTGTAACCATGGAAATTGTTTAAGCTTAACTATGAAAACCTATTAAATAAGTGTGACATAATTATGGAAATGGGTGTAGTGTATCCATAGAAATGGGAGTAGTGTAACCATGGAAATCCTTTTAGCATAACTATGAAAACCAATGAAATGAGTATAACATAATTATGGAAATGAGTGCAGTGTAACCATGGACAATCATTTTAAAATAACTATGGAAATTTTCTTTAGCATAACCACTGAAATGGATGTAGCTTATTTATTAAAATGGATGTAATTTAACAATGGAAATTTGTGTAGTTTAACAATGGAAGTGGGTGTAGCGTAACCAGGGGAATGGTTGTAACGTATCCATAGAAATGGGTGTTTTTCCATAAAAAAGGTGTAATGTAACCTTAGAAGTGAGTGTAGCATAACTATGGAAATTTGTGCAGCGTAACCATGGAGATGGCTGTTACATGGAGGTGACTGTATCCCTCTTATCGCTGTCAGTGGTGTAGCTCTACTTCAGATGGATTTTCTTTAGTCTGTATTTGTAATTTTAGTCCTGTAGTCTGGATTACAGTGACTGGACTGTAAGATTTGACCGGCACTGTTTAGAGTTTTCCATTTAAATTGGAACCTAAGCCTGTTTTGATGGGAGGACGAATTCTTACTTGACTAGTGAAACCTGTTCTGGCTGTGTGCAGATCAAGGCGGTGGATAACGGGCGGCCCCAGAAATCGTCCACATGCCGTCTGCACATCGAGTGGATCCCGAAGCCGGAGCCGAGCTCCTCCCCGCTGGCCTTCGACGAGAGCGTCTTCTCCTTCACCGTCATGGAAAGCGACCCCGTCGCGCACATGGTCGGGGTGATCACGATGGAGGCGGTGGACACTCCCGTCTGGTTCGAGATCACAGGTACGGTGCTCAGGAGGCCGCTGAAGTCAGCTTCTGTATTTGAATACATTTTAATTTAGTGGTATTTGAAGAAACGTACTTTACCTTTTAAACCAGATGAGACAAAAGCATCTTGAGACTCTGCATGAAACAGTTTCATTAGGAATTCTCTTTTAGAAACAAATAGATATTTAGGCCCAATCCCGTTTCTTCTTTTTACCCCTGCCGCTTGTTTTCGAGTGTCACCCTAACCCCTTGGAACTGAGTTACAGGGTAGTGGTTGAAATCTTCCCTCTGAAATGGGCCCCTCAAATAAAAAGAGCATCACTTCATTAACAGCTAGCGCTGCTCTGTAGGCGACCCTGCCAGTCTGCAGTGACAGCAGAGGAGGGTAAAGTTCAGCTCCTCACTGCTGGGCTTTAGTTACATTTAGAGAATCTTATGACTTCAAGGAGGGGGGCAATTATTTATTATCACCCACCCCTAATTCTTCAGTGATTTGAAGCTGAAGTCAGATATTCACCAGCTGCTTGTTTGAATTTTCCCGTTCCACCTTAAATGGGGCGGCAGTTACATTCTGGCGCTTCAGGCGTCAGAACTGCTGGACCATTTAAGGTGGAACGGGAAACTTAGCTAGCCAGCTACTGAGACTAGCGTGCTATTAATGATTGTTTTATGCTGGAGTCTCTGAAAAACCTCCATTTGGAGGGTCATGTAGCCCTAACTCTTCGCCCTCCCCCTCTATCTCAACAAAACACCCTACCCCTAGATGTGAACGGGTAGGGCTCAGTGGTAGGGGCGAGGGGCGAAATGGGACTGGGCCTTAAACCTACTCACCCGTTTTCTTTCTTCCCTTTGGCTTTTCTAACCAACTTACGACTGACGATCTGTTGCTTTCTCTCTTTTTCCGCTTGCCGCCTCCTCTGTCGGAATGTCTGTCTCTTCTGTCTTTCTTTGTTCCTCTTTCTTTTCTTTCTCCCTACCTCTCCGTTTGGTTTCGGAAGAAAACACCGACGCCAGTGAGGTGTTTTACGTCGTGCAGATGGCTTGTGACCTGAACTGCACTGCAGAAGGTATCCGTTGCAGATCTGCCTCGGTCAGATCTGTGATCGGCTAATATTTGTTGTGCTGGAATCTCTCAACCTCAACCTTCGCTGTGCCAAGCAACTGAAATGTACTTGGCTACACACTTAAAAAGATGGTTCTTCAAGGGTTCTTTAGTAAAAAATAATGGTTCTATATCGAATCATGAACACTCAAAGAACCCCTCAGATGATTAAAGTGTTCTTTGTCATGAAAGCGTTCTTCATCTTGATGGAGAATATCCTGTAGATGGTTCTATATAGCACCATTTTGAAAAAGGTTCTATATAGCACCAAAAAGGGTTCTTCTCTTGTTATAAGCTTGACGTCGTAACAATAGCAGAACCCTTTTCTATCAATCTGAAGAACGCGTTCATGATATAAAGAACCCTTTAATCATGCAAAAGGTTCATCGAATGTTCATGGTTCTATATAGAATCATTTTCTTTATTGAGGAACCCTTGAAGAACCATCTTTTTAAGAGTGTGGAGTCTAGATTAGCACCCTAGTCCACTCAGACCAGCGCAACACACACTATCACACCACCACCACCACGTCAGTGTTACTGCAGTGCTGAGAATGACCCACCACCCAAAGAGTACCTGCTCTGTGAGGGTCCATGGGGGTCCTGACCACTGAAGAACAGGGTAAAAGGGGGCTAACAAAGTATGCAGAGAAACAGATGGACTACAGTCTGTAACTGTAGAACTACAAAGTGCACCTATATAGTAAGTGGAGCTGATAAAATGGACAATGAGTGTAGAAACAAGGAGGTGGTCATAATGTTATGCCTGATTGGTGTATCAACCATTAATTACATGAGCGTCACAGTCCAGCAAAGGCTATCTTGTTCACCAGAAAGTGTAGAAATGCATTACAGTACATTTAGATGGATTTAGTTGTAGCAGATATTTAGTTTTCTGTTCAGTTCCTTATAAAGTAGAGAGCTCATGAGTGAAATTACACACATATATAGACGCTGTCGCCCAGTTTGTAGCAGCAAACAGAGTCAGTTTCTCTGGTATGCATTTGACCCCTGGTCAGTTCCTCCGGCCCAGCTGGCTAGCAGGTGCTAACGGCGCTCTCCTCTCTCACTCAGGCGGTAACTCGGACCACCGCTTCGACGTGGACAAGGCCAGGGGGACGCTGGTGGTGGCCCGTCCGCTGAACACCGAGCAGAAGTCGAACTACAATCTCACCCTGGAGGCCACAGACGGCACCCGCACCGCCAGCACACAGGTAACCAAGCGCTATTATTAGCGAAGAGCTATGTCCCAATCCACCACACTGAGTGCACTTTCCCTCTTTCCCTCAAAATCATACAAACAGGCCCTAAAACACATTTTAACAGATAAATAGCAATAAATATGACAAATATTATTATAAAATTAATAGTATTTAGCTCTGTTTTTCAGTTTACATTGAATTTGAGTATTAAAAATATCTGATATTAATTATGCAACTCAATTTGTAATTAAAAATAAAACCTCTTTTGCTGTGTATCAGTTTTTGCACTCAGCCTGAATCCAAGAGGACAGAAAATCAATAAAAACATGTCCTCCTTATGTTAATTGTTTATTTTTAATAACTCATAATAACCAATAAAATGAATCACCATCACAATTACTGCACTTTCAGCTCACAGACACTCCAGACTAACAATTTCTGAAAAGGTATCTGAGGTGCAACTTGTTTTCAAGATCTCTGTAAGCAAAAAAATACAAACTTTAGCCAGAACTAGGTAAATTTTTGATCAAAAATTAGCCAAATTCCAAAAGATATAAAATTTCTGTTCAAATTTACTTATCAAACAGTGGCATATCTGAGTAGCCCATGGTCTCTTGAAAATAACAACATATGGCCTGTGTGACTGTCTCATGTAAATACCTAATAATTGCAATTGGAATTGTAATTGACCCAAAAAAACAATTCCCAAAATTTTGGGATTCTAAGGCTTAACAGCCTGAAATGTACAAGAGATTAGTCAAAATTTTCAAATCATTTCAAGTCATGAAGTTTGAAGCATTGAATATTATCAAATAAAGTTAGATTAGCTAACATTACACGTTCCCATATTCAAGAACCATGAGACGTCTAAACTCTGTGCTCCTCCAGAGGGCAGTACAGAGCCTGAGTCTTGTGTCACAAACATCTTAAACACAGAAGAACTACTGCAGCCAGCTAAAGGCCAGCACACACCAGCTGATGGTACAAAGCGCCGCTGTAGCCCATAGTAAGCGCCACAGAGAAGCACTGGTGAACAACAAGCTTGAGTTAATATTAAACTCTGCTTGTACAGATTTAATGGATACAACCTTTAATCAAGGTTTAGTGTGATTATCATGTTTGGGATCATCAGGCTAACTTGCTGTTTTGAAGTAAGCTATGATGTGGCGAGGCTAGAAACGTTAGCTGAGGTAAAAGACGACTAACATTTGTTTGACTTTAGATTGGCTGCTTTTCTTGTTATGGTAACAAAGAATATTTGTAGAATAATATTCTACACATTCGAATATCATATTTGAAATGGCTCTCCCTAAACCTTTCTTCTTACGTTAGATGTAGGCATCAGACAGGCCTTATTTATTTAGTTTTTCACTAGACACTGGTCATTTTATCAGAAACACTACCTTATACGTCCACTCACTGGCCACTTTATTAGAAACACCTACCTTGCACTTCCACTCACTGGCCACTTTATTAGAAACACCTACCTTGTACTTCCACTCACTGGCCACTTTATTAGAAACACCTACCTTGTACTTCCACTCAGTGGCCACTTTATTAGAAACACCTACCTTGTACATCCACTAACTGGCCATTTTATTAGAAACACCTACCTTGTACTTCCACTAACTGGCCACTTTATTAGAAACATGTACCTTGTACTTCAATGTACTGGCCATTTTATTAGAAACATCTACCTTGTACTTCCACTAACTGGCCACTTTATTATGTGTGTACATGTCTGCGTGAGTAAGTGTGTGTTTGCTAGCAGCTAGCCGAGTGCGAGCTAGCGGACAGTGTAAAGGTGGTTTTCAGAGCGCTTTCGGGAATTTTTCTCCAAGTCCGGAGGCTTCAGCCTGTCGGCCTGATTAGACTCGCCTCAGCAGAGTGGAAGTTTCCTGAGCGTTTCATAAAGAGCCATTAGGGCTAGCGCACATTCCTCAGACCGGCGGCTGGACAGTGAGGTTTTTTTTTCTTTTGTTTTGTCTTTTATTTTTTCTTTTTTGGCCGCTTGGATTCTGGAATCTTCCATTGTCTCATTCCTGAAGCGCGTGAGGAGGAGAAGGAGGAGGAGGAGGACGGTGCTGTCGGGCTGTGCTCTAATAACTTTTATCGCTCTCTCTTTCTCTTACTCTCTCTCTCCTCCTCCTCTGTCTTTCTGTCTCTCTCTCTTTCCCTTTCCGTCTGCCTCTCTCTCTCTCTCTCTTATATACACCCACCTTATACTTCAAGTCACTGGCCACTTTATTAGAAACACCTACCTTGTACTTCCACTCTCTGGCCACTTTATCAGAAACACTACTTTATGCCTCCACTTAATGGCCACTTTATCAGAAACACCTACCTCATGCTTCAAGTCACTGGCCACTTTATTAGAAACACCTACCTCATGCTTCCACTGTCTGGCCACTTTATTAGAAATACCTAGCTTGTTCTTCCACTCTTTGGCCACTTTATTAGAAACACTACCTTATGCCTCCACTTAATGGCCACTTTATTAGAAACACTACCTCATGCTTCCACTCTCTTTCTCTATCTCTCTCTCCCTCTCTCTCCCGTCCTCCTCTAAGGAAGGCTTACTGCAAGCTCCTAGCATCTCTTACAGCTCAGTTGGTGGAAGGCCATTTTCTTATAAAACTCCGGAATAGCATTCCTGGGAATATTAGGGATGCAACTCTGATTCAGATAGAAACCATATTTGCTCAGGCTCATTTTCTCCTGTGTGTAATTGTGCTGTTATTTTCAGTGAGTGTTTCATCTTTCCAGTGTTTTGCGTATGTTCCTGTGAACACAGTCAGAAGCTGCTTCAACACAAACGCAGAGCTCTCTCCCTCTCTCTCTCTCCCTCTCCCTCTCTCTCTCTCTCTCTCTCTCTCTCTCCACCACAAAGGCAGTGACATAACACATTTAGCCATTTAGCTTCATGGTTGCGGTTTATCAAAGCCTGTCTCGTCTCTCTCGGCCTGCTCTGCTGAATCTGAGAGCCATTGTTGGAGCCTTCACCCCAAATCAGTTACAGTTATCACACATACGCAGAGTCGCCCTCCAGTTCTCAGGCTCTGTGTCCAGCATCACAGCCCAGCGTTCTCCAACAGACACCAGCAGGCCCACATGCTGGACCATATGTGTGTGTTGGAGCTCTCAGAATGTCCTGAGTATCATATTAAAACTATATTATACATCCGCTCACTGGCCACTTTATTAGAAACACCTACCTTATACTTCCACTCAGTGGCCACTTTATTGGAAACTCCTACCTTGTATGTCCACTCAGTGGCCATTTTATTAGAAACACTATACTTCCACTCATTGGCCACTTTATTAGAAACTCCTGCCTTATACTTCCACTCTCTGGCCACTTTATTAGAAACACCTACCTTGCACTTCCACTCACTGGCCACTTTATTAGAAACACCTACCTTGTACTAAAATGTACTGGCCACTTTATTAGAAACACCTACCTTGTACTTCCACTAACTGGCCACTTTATTAGAAACACCTACCTTGTTTGTCTACTCACTGGCCGCTTTATTAGAAACACCTACCTTGCATGTCTACTCAGTGTCCACTTTATTAGAAACACCTACCTCAGGTCCACTATGTAGGTGTACAGTTAGAGACTGTAGCCCATCTGTTGTCATGAACACTTCATCGACCCCCCTCTACTACATTCATCACTGGTCGGTTTCTGACCACAGGACCACTGTTGTCCAGATTAATTGACTGGTGGTCCATTCTCAGCACAGCAGTGACACTGACTTCGCAGTGTTTCTAATAAGGTTGCCAGTAAGTGGAACGGCAGTGTTGCTGGGGTAGTGGCGCTACCAGGTCGAGTGTGGACCCCCCAAACAAACTGTCCTCCAGCAAGGTGGAGCTACAAGAGCGGGGTTTCTGATAAAGTGGCCACTTAGTATAGGGTTGATGAGGCTTGTATAATACGGAGTCTGAGAGCTGTGTGTGCTGTAAGTGTCTTTTTCATGGTCACCTCTCTCACATCCTGCCACCGACTCATGAGTTTTCAGCCCTGACGGCCAATTAATGGCTTCTACACTCGGCGCGTGTTCCTATCAACACGTCCTGATATCCGCCGAACAGCTGGAGCAGGTGTGCGGAGACTGAACTGGGTCAGGCAGACAGACGAGGCAAATATTTGCCCTTTATTAAAGAGTGACTGGAAAGAGGACGACATGACATGGACCAAGTGCCATGTTATATTGCTATAAGTTATTTTTACTTGACCCCAACTGACCACTGTTTACTCAAAATATGGCAAAACTACGACGGCAAAAAAAATAGGTACTGAATACTCGGGCTGTTCATAAAAACATTAATTAAAATATTTTTTTTTCTTATGAATCAATGGGCTACAGTAGCTGCAGATCACTGTTAGACCTCTTTAATGTCCCCAATGTACAGTAGGTCTATTAAAACTACTGTAAGTGGAAGCACACGTTACGTTGCAGTGCATGCTGGGAACTGTAGTCCAGCTCATGGTGAAATGGGCTGATATTAATGGAAAATTCAAATAATTTTCCGGGCCAAATAGGATCGTGCCACGGGCCTGGCTTGGGTCGCGGGCCTTGTGTTTGACACATGGGTTCTAGATAATGAGCATCATATCCATGACATAATGGCAGTGAACTGCAGTTAGTTAACCAGAATGTATGCAGTGAATTGCTTAAAGAGAAATAACTACCCTCTTAAGATGGTTCTTTAAGGTTAAAGGCAGTGGTTCTATATAGAACCATGAGCACTCAAAGAACCATTTGCAGGCTTAAATGGTGAAACTGTTCTTCAGATTGATGGAGAATGTGTTATGGTTCTATATAGCAGCAACAAGGGTTCTGCTGGTGGTACGATGCCAAGCTTGTAACAACAGTCAAAACATTTTTGGCGCTATATAGAACCAATAGAACCATTTTCAAAAAGGTTCTATATAGAACCACATATACATTCTACATCAGTCTGAAGAACAGTTTCACCACACAAACAACAATTTAAGCATGCAAGTG